TGATACAAGAATTTGATGACAGTTATAATTGTTTTTTCCTGCGAGTATGATTGAATTCTGAGCCCCGTTTGTGTGGTCGCGATAGACCTAAATGAGTGGATTTCATATAGTTTCTTGGAAGACAGATCTGTTAGGGAATGTTCAACACGAGGTTCATCTGTGATGGTTGATCCTGAAGTTATTAGTGCTCAAACCTGAGAAAGATGTATCACTGAAAGATGGTTTTTGGTGCTTACTGTGTGCTAAACAGCTCCATGCCTCCTCTGAGGCACTGAGGGATCTAGATCTGGAATAGGAAGTCGCTCAAGGAAAATAGATATATTCTGACTATTGGCCACCAGTCCTCCCCACGGTAAGCAGAATTGTACTGACTGCACAGGAGATGAGACATGTTCAGTGGGTTTTATGAAAACTGTGTATATGCTCCAGAGACCTGTAGCTAAGGGATTCCTCCTGCTGGGAGGTGCTGCCTCCGTATAGGACCAGAGGCTGTTGGGCTTGCAACATTTGTATCTTAACCAATTTATGACTGATATATAGGGCCTGCAAGGTTAGCATGAGTGAACCTGAAACTGCCTGTATGGAGTGCAAAGTGATGATGTGTGCTAGTGAGTGATCTCTTCTCTCAGTGCTTTATTCCTACTTAGAAACTTATATAATTTCAGGTTTCAGCAAGACTGGGAAGAAGGTCCAGGATTCTTGAGAAATATCTGTGCTGTTCTTACAGCTATTAATTGTGTGTTGGCTAATCTGTGTCTTTCACTATCATTGCATCCTGGAAGCAGTAGTGGAAAACTGTTCTAGTGAGAATATTACCTAAAAGAGGGGAGAGCATTGTTCTCTAGTGCATCCATTTGATTACATTTTATGATGACAGGAGAGTTCTTGGCACCTGCCCTATTCACACATCACTGGTTTTCCATCAGCATCAGATTTCTTCTAGGCTCTAGGCTCAGATAAATTTATCTAATGATTGCATAGAAAAAAATTGGTATTCTAAAAATCTAATAATGCATAAGTACAGGAGAAAATAAAATAAAAGGTGTTGTTTATCCCTAAGAACTGTATTAGAAAGTTTGGAATTTTAATCTAGAAATGTGATTAATTAAATATGCTGAAGGCCTGTGTCATCTTGTGCAGAAAGATAAGCTTTCAGGTTACTGCTGGGAGTTCAGCAGACAAGCTTAACAAACAGCAGTTGTAGTCTGAGTTCCTACCACATGTACTGCAGCATAGCTGCATGCCCTTTTTTTTTAATCTACACGTTCTTTAAAATATGTAAGCTCTGACAATTTATTTATGTAAAGCTGCTTGCAGATAGGTACCTTACAATCTGTATATTGATTGCAGTTGTGTTGTTGGTTTTCATGTTTTTTATGCACTGAAAAATTAAAGAGGAGGAGCCTTTTCCAGGGAGGTCCATTAGTCCCACATTATTGCTAGGGTTGATCATATATTTGTATATCTTTATTGAACATCTAAATCTTTATTAAACTAAACAAAGGTATCACAAACATGAATAAAACCACTGTCCTCTTCTCACATTGCTTTCTGGTTTTGCAATTTTGGAACTAAGTGCTGTATCTTGTTAAGGATTGTGGCAAATGAAGCTGATGTCAATCTTAATGTTTCTGTTAGTTGGTAGAATGAGGATGGCAGCTCCTGTGATTTTAGCTGTCTGGTATTTGTTTCCTTTCCAAGAAGCCGATTAGAGTCCCCTGCTTGTCTCACCAAGACAGTGCCATGACTGCTTTTAACCTGGTGATGAAAGCCTCAGGTGACCAGTTGCAGAACATGCTCTAATTCTTTGTTTGCTCTTTTGTTAACATGGATAGGAACTTCATTTATTTTTGGTGAAGATTCAGATATTAAATCTGTGAATTTGTGCAGGTGCAGAATACAGTGTGTCCTGTATCAGAGCTGTGTTGTTTTACAGCAGCAAATACGGAAATTATTTTGTATTGATGCTTAATCTGATAACTGAGTGAGGGGAAAAAATGGATGGAATGCTTGTGGATTAACGATTGTACAACTGCAAGGTGGACGTGTTTCAAAGTCATTATGAATAGTCACACTTCTGCAACGTATGATTGAAGTAACAGTTTTGAGATAATGTGTATCTGTTCCTTTAGTTACGGGTTTATGTGTCAGCTGCAGAAATAATTTCATGTTTGTGAGATGACCCTTTGCCTAAGCAGAAGGGTGGATATTGAGAAATGTATGTTTGTTACACTTGACATACTTAACCTGAAGACTTGTTTTCTCACTTTAGATATGTTAAATGACATCTGTTCTGACTAACTCTTTGTAGAATTGTATCAAATAAGGTATCTTTCTTTTTAATATTTTAGTTATGTTTTTAATTTTTTTCTTTTATTTTCATGCTTACCATGTAAAATCCTTTCAGAAAGCAACAATAAACTGTAAGTAAATGAAATGAAAGTTATCCAACGATTGTTTTGTTTCCAATTGTATAATGCAAAATGAACTGCAAAACCAAAGTGGTGAAAGACTACAATTATATTGGAGGCTTGGGGAAGGGATTCATTTAATAATTAATAGAGTAAAAGTTCAATGGTACAGTGCATGACAGTAGCAGAGGAAATGTGCTGCTGCGCATTTACTTCCTTTGCAACCAGAAGGATTCGCCTGCTTTACACACATAAATCTCTCCAAAAGAAATGCCTCCTATTTATTTTCATGAAAACTACAACAGATACAATAGTGCAATAGCACTATTTGGTAGAGCAAATTCTTATCTACAAAACAATATTTCTGAACATAGTCACCATTGTTAGCTGTGCAGTGATGAACAAGAACCTGTCTGCCATGCTCATAAAAATCTGCACCAGCAGAGGAGGCCCACTGTTGTCATTGCTGAAATGCACCACTCACAGCTTCCATGTGCTCACGTTGACTGTTTGGTCTCCATGAACATTCACCAAGCATCAATGAATGTCAGTGGCTGCCATTTTTTCTGCATGAGGGAGTTTGGTGATGTGTGTCTTTGTTCCATATGCACTTCCATGTGTGACACCATTTTGTCAGACTGCTCCTCTGCTGCCATCTATTGCATAGCAATAAAATGCAGTGGAATAGTGGTGGGAAGGTTCAGACTCTACTGCCTTACCGCCACTATCTGCCTCTGATGTTGTGGGCTGACATCATAAAATAGGAGGCATTACTTTTGGAGTAGCTCTCAGGTAATGATGAGTCTTCCATCAAGATAGAGTCTGTCATGACACTGAATGTAGAAATCAATGTATCTGACCCATCCTTTGTATATGGTAGTGGCTTAAATTGCTACAGACTCAGGTTAAAATTGGGAAGCTGGACAAGCTTGATGAGTTGTTCGCAAGAACCTAGTGCAACAAATGCAGGGTACTGCTCTTGAGCTGGGACTGTTCCAGACTGTGTACAGCTGGGGAGAAAAACTTCTTGAGAGCAGCTGTGCTGTGAAGGACTTTTGAGATTCTGACGTGAGCCAGCAGTGTGCACTTGAAGCCCAGATGGCCGATGCTGTCATGGGCTGCATCAGCGGAGAGGTGGCCAGCAGGGAGAAGGAGGGGATTGTCGCTCTGTGCTCTGCTCTCGTGAGGCCCCATCTGCAGTACTGCATCCAGGCCAGGGGCCTCCAGTGCAAGACAGATGTGGAGATGTTGAAGGTGGTCCAGAGTAGGGCTGTGATGATGATCAGAAGGCTGGAGCACCTCTACAAAGAAAGGCTGAAGGAGCTGGGCTTATTCAGCTCGAAGAGAAGGCTCCGGGGAGGCCTTATTCTGCCCTTCCTGATGTACAGGAGGGAGGCTGACTTTTTACACAGTCTAATAGTGATAAAACGAAGGGGAGTGCCTTCAAACTTAAAAGAAGGGAGATTGAAAGTAGATGTCAGGAGAAAATCCTTTACTCAGAGGGCGGTGAGGCCCTGGCACAGGCTGCTTGGAAAAGCTTGGATGTCTCTTCTCGCCAGTGGTGTCCAGGGTTGGGTTGGATGGGGCCCTGGGCAGCCTGAGCTGGTGGGTGGCAGCTCTGCCCATGGCAGGGGCCTGGGACTCGTTGATCTGTCAGGTCCCTTCTGACCCAAACCATTCTGTGATTCTGTAATGAATCACAGGCTGGATTCTGTGCAGTGAGGTAGGCCGATGCTGTGAGGAGTAGTATGGGTACTGTTCATTCCCCTATACGGCGTATAAAAGGATTTCTCAAAGTCAGTTCTACTATTTTTCTGCTGTTTTTTTTTGTTTGTTTGTTTTTTCCCTCTAGTGGGTAACTCAGAGTGGGAGTGGTAGAAATTGATGTTTCGTCTGAAAGTTGAAAAATGTTTTAATTTTTAAATGATTTTTGGAAGCAGCATTCTTTCATCAGTAATAACATTAGAGTAATAACAATAGAGTAATAACATTAAAACACAGAAAAGAAAATCAACCGCGATGTTGAGATTTGATTTGAGGTTTTCATGCTGAATGTTTTGACTTTCAGACAGTTCAGTGAAATATTACTTACTTAAAATTTAAATGTAATAGTTCTAGCTATAGAAAAATGCCATGTAATTTTTTTTACTCTGTTCATAAGAGATGCTAAATAAATTCATGATTAAGAAAATGTGAAATGGCTAATTCGTTCACAGTTTTTTTGGGTGGGTAGAAGGAAATTTTGTTTTCCTTACTGAAAATGTTTGAAGTCTATAACATCCAGCACTTTTCCTTCTACATGTTAAATACGTGCAGATGGTGTATGAAATTGGTAAACACAGACAAAAAGTGTTCTGTTGGGTTTCTTTTATTTTTACACGTGGTGAGAAAAGATTTCTGAAAACCTTATTTAAGAGAATTCCTTAAACTGTTTAGAATAAATCGTTGTAACCCTGATTTATTGTTCTTGATTGTGCATCAAAATGGCAAACCTAGAACACATTTTGCTTTGTGTTTGGGGGGAAGTTGCATATATTTTCTGGCTTTTTAATCCTATTTAAAGGAGGTCTTTTTAATCTGTTTCATCAGAAATTCATAGTCCATCCTCAGCATCTCTGGGTGACTGCAGAAGACATAGAATTGTGGCATCACAGCAGATTGGAAGTTGAGCGAGTTGAGGGTAAAAACTTTTGATATGATTATTGACAGCTGTGTCAGATTACATGGAATATTTATTCAAAACAGTAGAGATTTCTATTTTAAACATGAAAATCTCAGAAAACGAAGGTAGCATGATTCCAGAAATAAAGAAACTTGGAGATATTTGCATTATTTTGCCAAAAGGAAGAAGAGGACTTTGATTTTGATGTAGGAAGAGAAGAAGTATAGTATTTTAACATGGAAGTTCTCGCATGCCACTAGAAACGCAGAACATGTTCTGCAAGTGGTTTTTAAGCCAGAGTATATAAAGGTAAAGGGACTGAAAGCTTGCATGCAGAGTATTAGTACTGTGTTTGGGTATTTGTGTAACGTTGGATGATTGAAGGCCCATAATGAAATACTGAGTTAGTAAATACAGTGCTGTTGGCAGCTGCTGCTTTGTGAAAAGTAGTATGTATTTGAATAATCCGAATTTTTATGGCTTCTTTCACAGCTTGTTTAGTCTAGCCTTAGAAGAAAAGCATAAAGAAATATACCGTAAGACATTTCTTTCAGGGGAGAGGGGAGAGATAAGAGAGAGAACTTAATTTTTAATTACTCGAATTATTGTAACATCTTTATTTTAATTTCTTTAGACTATGTCTGAATGTATCCAGCTCTCATTTGCTGTTTGTAGAATTGGCATTTACACGGTAAGGCAATGTTCTAACTAAGTAACTTTTGTTAGCGTTAACTCCACTATGTGAAGTTACATAGTTTTTTGGGGGGATCGGGATTAATTAATACAATTAGTAGAAGGGGTTTGATTTATTAGTTTCCATAAGCAGAGTGCAGCATGGTTTATCCAAGTGGAGCTTTTTGAATGCAAGGACAGAAAAAAAGTATTTTCCACTTCAATTAAAAAGTAAAGAGAAATCCTACCAACCTCTTGAAATAAGAAACATTGGAATTCTTACACATGAATTACTGAGAATTCAGGCCTAAATTAATGGCCGAAGGGTTTGTATACTTCGCTTTGAAATGTTTATTATGTTTGAGCAATGTGGTGTATTAAAATGTTAGCTAAATGTATGTGCTGTTGTAAGCTTAGCCTTGAGTGCCATAACGTTATCCAAGTACTCTTGTTAAATCTCCCAAATCTTAATTAAGTAATTCCAAAGAAAGATGTTATTTCATGCTATTTCAAATGTGAATGTCCCAAATATGCTGATTTCCCTTAAATTTCACCTTCCTCCTCATTGCTTCTTTTACTAATGTTGAAAATAGATAAAAATAAATTGAGTAAGCTCCATTTAGGAGACACATTATTTACACTACACTTGCCTAAGTCATGCTTCGAATCTTGGAGCTTTTGGAGTGAGAGTGCTGCTCCTATTGTTAATACTACTTAGGAAGAAACCTGAAACATGCCACTTCCTATTGTAGTAGGTGGTAAAGGCCAAGGGTGTGTGAATTTTGAACAGCTGTGATGCTGTTCAAAAGCCATACACTCATGACACTTGGGAACTGAACTGCAAAGCTTAAAATTTGTTTTTATTCCTAGAATTCAGTACCAAGTGGGATTTTGTGTCTCCCAGAGTGTCCCTTCCGCACCTTTCTGTGACATTTGCTTGTGTTCCATTTTCAGCATCTAATAGACTCTATTGTAAGTAAGAGAACATAACAGACTTGGAAAGTATATACAAAATACTCCTGGAAGAAACTGCTGCTTGCATTAAAATAATTGTTTAACTGTAGTATTTAAGATGCTCAGCAAGATCATCTTTCTTCAAATTCTTACATGATAAGAGTATGCTTATCTTGAAGTATCTGAACAGGCTACAGCATGAGGTAAAATGGCTGCAAAGTATGCAGATCATCTGCCAGTTCTTTAAAAAGCTGCATTAAGCTGTCCAAATTCATTTGAGAGGATGTCCAAATATAATTGTGTGTATTGCAGAATTGAGTACAAGCAATATGTAAAACAGAATAATCTCTCTGATAATAATTTCTTCTGTTTAGGTTTAAAGTAGATAAATTTGGTCTTCTTACCTGTAGTTTACTGTGAAGTGATGGTAGCTGCAGTTATAGTGGTGGTTGGAAAATTGACATTTTGTTATGGCCTTTAGTCAGGCATGACCCTTAATTTCACTGAACGTTTTTATATTACAAGATACAAATAATTTATGAGAGCACTGGAAGGGATAGATCTCCTTGACTGCTAGAATCTCTAGTGAGGAGGCTGATGAGTACGCTTCAGAGCATACAGAGATGCACTGCTGTGGACCAAGTATAGAGAGAAGATGCCCTATGTGTTAAGCGTATGTGAAAGCTAGAAGAGCTGCTGTGGGAAAGTGCTTGTTGTGTAGAGTGCTTGCTTATATAAAAAAGTACCTGCTGTGAGAAAAAAGTCCTTCAGTTGATCTGACTGAGGAGAGTGTCTGAATGGCTTTGGTTTCCATGTTAATGGAGAAAACTGCTGATGTGAACACTATGTGGAAATGAAGTGTGATCGTTCCTCTCTCCACATATGGTTGTCTTCTTGCTCGGTCATGTAACTCAGTTCCTGGATTTGTTGCTCAGGTATGCGAACAATCTGTCAGCTTGCAAATACAGTGCTCGGCACTGATCAAGAAGCAAAACAAAACATTGTATTTTCTGTCTTGTCAATCCTTATATCTTGTATTGTGTACTTTCTACTGCATGCTGTTTTGAAGGTTTAACAGATTTAAAAAAAAATTTTTTTGGACAAAAAACTAGGCAGTCTATCAAGTACCAGTCCTTAGCAATGCCATGTGTTCAGTTTGTACTGTATTATTTGGACACTTCCTGTTCTGCATGTCCTTGTACAGCACTGTAAGTATCTTGTAAAGACTTGTAGTCCTTTGGACTACAGACATCTCAATTGTTAGTCTGTTATCAGGCTGCTTATCAGTAACTCACTTGAGTACTCATTACTTCAGCTGTACTACTGCATTAACGAGGCTTCCTGTTTTTCAGGCCTGTACAGATTACAAGAAGGAGGAAGGGCTTATATAGATATCTATATCAGAAGTGCCTGTGTTGCTTTCAGTTGCTGTGACTGAGAGGCTAAAGCTTTGTTCTCTTGAGCTAAGAACACAGGTCCTTGCAAAACTGCAGAAAGATATGGTACCCATTTAAGGTGAACCAGATGAGATGTAGATTCAGTCCTTGGGAGAAGGAGAAACACAGTAATGGTTAATGTGAAAACTGCATAGGTATTTATAAGGAACTGGTGATGAAAGTATCCTAAAATCAAAGCTTTATAAGAAACTGAAATGGAAAATCTGGGGTTAGAAAACAACCAACAACCAACCAAGCAAAATAGAGCTCCATTTCCTTTGAGCCTGACACATCTAGTATCTTGGCAGAAGTACCAGCCTTTTCAGACTTCCTTTTTGTTCTGCTTCACTAGTGGGTGAGTGCTAGGAACAGGTAGATGTGTTAGTTTCTGACTTTCCATGGTTGTGGAGATTGTAAGCTCGTAAGAGCTTGTAGCAAAGCTTTACAGACATTTATGCTGTTATCATTAACTGCTTTTCTTAGTCTGATGCATTTTTTTAACCAAATGAAAACAGTAGTGAAATGACTGTGAAGAGTCTAACCTACATGAACTTGAGAGGAAAAATAATCTGAAGTTTGCTGTATTTCTTGTAAAATAGTTTTTGTGGTGGTGTGTTGGCTACCTTTGTAACTATTTAGGATTCCATATACATCAGCATATACAGCATACATGGTTGTATGCTTACACATTGTATCTGGAAGACCCTCTGGTATCCTGTACTAGATATTTTATCCTAAAATACACCCTCTGTCCTCCAACGACCCCAGGAATAAGCAAAAAGACTACTGATTTTCCTGTTGCATTTTGTCGTGGATAACAACAAGGAAGGAAGCCTCTGCAATGGTGAGAACCGTGCAGAAAAACTTGGGAAGCTTGATCTGGAGTGCATTAAGAAGAAAAAATAGAAAATAAGACTTTCTGTTCTTGAAAAATTAGAAAGTAATCATTTTCCTTGATTTAGAACATGGCATCAGTAGATAAATAATTAGGGAAAACTCATTTAGAACATAATTCAGATAACAAAAAGTCCTTCGCAGAGCTTTCTCCTCACATGCCTAGTATGGCAAAACTGATGTACTCCAGCAGCATTGCATCAGTGTTGGCATCTTCTTCATGAAAATGATGAGTCATGGATATTTTGGTATTAGTAGCCTTTTGGATTGAATTTGTGCAATGAGATGTGGGAATAAAAGATGTTTTATAAAGCTGTGCTTACTGTAGTTTATATATGGTAAGCATAGTAAATGGTGCAAATGTTGTGCTCTTAGTTCTCTAGTTTACTTTGGATTAACTTACATTTGTCATTGTTTATAACGACAGTGATAAATTCTTGTCTTGAAAATAGTTTGACTGGAAACAACTGTTATTCCAAGGAATTTTTCTGGTATTAAAAGAAGACAGAATTAACATTTGTTCATGAAGTGGTGGAGGGAAGGCTCTTAAGAGAAGCCAGCTGTGGTAGTAACTGAAGGCAGTCATGGAAGAGAAGGTAATCGTGGGAGTGTGTTTGGGAAGGTTCACGAGCCAGCCTGTGAGTTATGGTATAGAAGGCTTCCTGTGCGACTCTTCCCCTCCCTGATGAGGTTTCCCGTTGGAAAATGCAAAGTTAAAGTAATAACAGAGCTCATATAGCATATCCTGTCTACTCCTCCCTTTCCCATGTCATGTCCTTGACATGAGCAGCAAAACAAAGGCACAAAAAGGCAGCAGGAAAAAATCCTTTTATGTTCTACCCTTTGGGAAATGCAGACAGTTCCATTCACTGTTACTATTGATTTGTATGGCTGGACTGCTGGAAAGGTATCAATGTTTCAGCTTCAGCTTTAAATAAAAGTAACATACTGGCAGCAGAGTATCTACTGGCAGTGACTTGTGTTTGATGAAATAGCCCTGTATTTGATGAGAGTTTGTCTAATTGTTGCAAATGTGTAGCCATGTGTGTTTGTGTATTGCTTTTTGGTTTACGTGTTTTCATTTACGCTAACCTAAGTAGTTAAAAAGGAGAAGCGCTGATGTTATTCTGTGTGTATAAACATTAATATAGTAAGCCTTCTTTTTTCTTTTTTCTTTTAATATAAGAGCTAGTAGACTGCTTTCCTGAAATGGAGAAAGTGTTGTAACTTTTTTTTTTTAATCAAATGGAGAAAGCCAAGGCAGGTTTAGTGGGAGATCATCCACTCCAAGGCAGGAGTGAGGATGAGAATACAATTCTCTTTCCTTTCCCAGTACAAAGTTCACTGGTCAAAGTGAACTGTTTTTAAATTGTTGAGCAGCCGCTCCTTGTGGCCAGAGCTCATGATATCTTCTGATCAGACAGCTCAGTGGTTTGGTCCAACCAATGCAGGTGTGACAACATTGCTTCCTTGAGCTACTGATGCACTTTGTGTTGACAACCCTTTTGACAACCACTGAAAAATAGTATTTAGTTTTATTTTATTGGGAAGTGCGTGGTTTACCAAAATAGCCTGTTAATTTTTGTCAGAATGAAATGTTGTCTGGCAAACTCGCATACTGGAATGGAGCTTTGTTCTGATCTAGAGATTGTTGCATCTGACCAGTCTGCTTTTTATGACCCCTTCCTGTTCAAAGTCTCTTTGCTTTAGAAAATATCATTCTTGTTCCACAGAC